ATAAAAAAGCGTTTATGCCTTTTCATTCGGTATGAGGCTTGCCTTTTAGAAAAAAAAACAGCAAAAGGGGGTGGTTTGCCGGTAGTTAGTTCGTCCATATCAAGAACAACATTCTAACGTTTTCCCATTTTTGAATAAAATTTGAATATGGGCGCACTACGAATTTTCAAAGGTCTCCTCTATCTGTGACTATTCAAAAGGAGCCAGTCGTTTTCAATCACGATAAGCATGAATTCCATTCCAGTTGGGCCGAATAACTGTATATGTTAAAGGTGGACCTGCCACAGAAATTTGATCCCCTATTTCCGAATAAACAGGAAAATACCGTAATGAAGCGAAAATCAGAGGGAGACTGAGCTGGACGGTGACAGTTATGGGAATCCAAAGCATAGCAGATCTATGATGGAAATAAAAACAAGTAGAAGATTGCGGTAATCAGAACCGAGTTTAAGGGGCTTTACTTGGAGGTTGTGAGGTATTCCTTTTCCTAGGGTGGCCTTGTGACTTAGGATTAGCCTGAAATTACCTACCTTCCAACTTACTTGTTCCAAGGCGCTTGATCCATTATATTTATTAATCTTTAATTAATATTAATCTTGATCCACTATATTTATTATTTGTAGTTATTCCATTATAATTCCTTTTACATTTTGAGTATCAATCAGCTTGAAAGCAGCTACATACTCTCTATTGGGGCTTTATATGCTCGATATCTGGCCGTGCCAGGGTGATAAGTGAACGAGAACCCTTTGGGGCATGCTGAAGCGCTTGAGCACTGGCCTCGCGTGCAGCATTACTGTCGCTTCCTCTTTCAAATAGGAGACGGATGTTTGGCATTTCTCAAAAACACCGGCCGCTCTTTGTTATTCCATGAAATGCATTTGATCGAAATTGGGTAAAAACATGGAATTAAAGAAATTCCCTCTGGAACCTAATCATTGAGTTTTTTTTTGCTGTCAGCAAATAACGGAATCTAATCTTCTAATCGGAAGCCTTATCTTTCCGTTCCGATAAACATAGTCTGTTTACTTGAGTGAACATCAATCGGTTCAGGCCAGAATTGCGGGTTTGGGCTCTTATTTACTATCCCAACTGAAGATAATTCCAGAGCAGTTCTTCTTTCGCACTTCTATAACCGCGATGTGCCAACAAGGACAATAACTCAATTGAATTTTAATATTCTTCACATTTTTTCGACTGATTTATTCTATGCTAATTCTTTATGACTAACTCAGGAAGAAAGTGACTCATGCTCTTCTCGGGTGTGGCCATTTTGAAACCCTTCCTGAAGTGGAACAAACTGTGACAGTTACGTCGAAGAGTGCCTCTTGAACTTTCTGACACTCACGTGTTTGATGTGTCATAGTTTGAGAATCGTCCAGCCAATCGAATATCGTGATTGCTGCTAAATTGCTATCCTAGTTGCGAAGCTTGATATTCACATAGTCATTTTCTTCGACGATTTCTTACAAAATGAGCAGATATTACGAAAGGCTTGATTGACACCTTGGTGACCGTTGAAGAATGCCTGCTGTTGAAAATAAAGGCAAGGTCCGAGGATCCAGGTCAAACTTATGTCCTTTCCAGTGAAAAATGCAGTGATACACAAATGGGGAGCAAGCTCTCAAATATCAGCGTGATTCAAAAAGGAGTAAGCGCTAGGGCTCTAGAACGCAGCGTTGGCCTCACCCACAAATCGGTGCCATTTTCTTCACCGCTACTGGTGGGACCGCTTCTTTATCGTAATGATTGGCGTGTTTTTCCCTTTTTTTCAATTAACTGGAGTTCACTCACAGTCTCCACTGGGCATTTCAGGGCTAAAAATTGTCAGTTGACTCCGCCGGACTTGCTTTTGAATGGCTCACGTCACGAGTAGGACAGGTGGGCTGATTTCTCTTATGTATAGAGCTTCACGCAGGTAGTATGGGTGTTACACCCGTGACTTGGGTGCACTACAAGGACGCTGGAAGTACTTATGTCGTCGCTTACTGTCGTGCTCATGATGTAGCTGTTTACGCGATGGTAGTGTTTGCGTCTCGCTAGTCGCTGTGCTCTCCTTCCTGTTTTAGTAACACAGACTGCACCATCAATTATGTTGTGTGATCTATCAGGGTGCGCCAAAATTACGGAGACAGCGACTTCGAGTTGCCTAGGATGAGCAAGGTGCAATTCTTTGAAAACAAAAATGCAGTAACATGCACAGTCCCATTCTGAATCGTCGACATCCATGCAATTTTTGAAATTCCTTGGTTTGTGTGTTTATACGGGTCCTCAGAAACATCGAGGAACCATCGACTGTGGCACGCAATGTGGCGAGTAGGACTCGTCAAGCTCATTTTAGAGCGGTTTCTTCAACGAATCCCTAGACATAATGTGTTTTATGCAAGCCTCAGCTTCTAGAACGGATCCGACAGCGTACCCTATCGAGCTCAGATCTGAAATGCTGTTCTACCACCGTTTAAGCCGACAAAGTCGAAAAAATCGGTTCTGCATCAACGTTCGTCCGGGCGTTGGGTGGTTGCGTGTAGTCTGGGTTCGGTTCTGCATCAATGCTGCACTAGTACTGAACCACCCTTGCCTCGTAAACGGGAGCTCCTACTTGATGGAAGGCCCAGCAACGATTTTCAAAGTGAAAATAAACTCAGGATAGCAATGGGCTCTGATAAGTCCAAAAGAGCCCCCCTGATTCCTATCTCTCGTGACATCCAGTGAAACCAGCGCGTCAACTACCTGCAAATTCTATCGCACACAATCCTTAGATTGTTCGTGGTCGCCACAGAAACACGCCCTTCTCATCCAGAATGACTGCATTCAGCTCCTTGTCCCCTGTACCATTTGGAGCATCTATTGATAGTGCTCGGGTATACACCAAAACGATGATAATTGTCGCGTGCCAAAAACCCTCAACGTCGAAGTCCAATGATTTAGGGACGGTGTCAGTATCAGTCAACCGCTGCAGCTACCATAGATTTTGGTGGTTGAACAAGGTGCGACCGGTGCATGCCCGAGGTGGTAGGATGAAGCGCATCGGTGGCGGAGCACCGAGGACACGGCAGAACGGGTATTAGAAGGGCCCGAACACCCTGTCCTAGGGGGATGCGTCGCGTAAGGAATGCTCTGACGACTGTTGCCTGCCGCGAGCCTGGTGAGGCCCTCTCCCCTATCTGACGACCTTACGACCGTGCTGCTAAAGATGTGTAGATATTGCTACATAACAGAACACTAAGTATTAAGGTGATTTATACTAATATTACAATAGATTGCGAGACTACGTTATATAGAATGAGAGAGAGATGGGAGAACCTACGGGCACGATCGGAAGGATAAGCGGCGGAGTGGTATGCGACCGATCCGTTGGCTGTCGTAGATGGTGTTGACGGCAGCTCCAACCATGGCTGAGGACTCCACGGACACAACCGCTCGGCGAGACGACTGGACGACGACTGCTGACAGACGAGCGCGGGCCAAGGCAGAGATGCAGAGCACTTCCCGCACTTCTGGATGTTGCATGCGTTCAAACCATGGGAAAGTGTCTGCGTCCGTGGGAAGGCGTAGTATTTCGTCCTCCATAGCGTGAGAACGTGGCTGGAGCACGGGAAAGTATCGGCGCATACCTTGCACGTTGAAAAGGTCGTGACGAGAGTCGCGACACTCCCGGCGCCAAAACGAGATGCGACGATACTGACGTGCGACGATGTTGACGAGGGGCCTGCTGCCAACCGATCGAGGGGATTAGAACGTATAAACATAGTTAAATAGGGGTCAAGCTTAGGTAAAAACTTCTTCAAATGACGGCATGATTAAATGAGGATAAAGATTACATAGTAAATGAGAGTAAATAAGCAAAAAATATACAAAGTAAAACGAAAAACTATGTATCACTTTACTAACTGGAATGGCGACGACGTTGACGTTGAAACCGACGTTGAAGGTGACGTTGGCATCGACGTTGACGGCGTTGACGTTGGAGTTGCTGCTGGACACGGTGATGTTGAAGTGGAGTTGCGACGATGGAAGTGGCTTTGGTGACGAACGGCTCGAGTGATGAACATTGGACGGCACGATGGACGGCACGATGGGCGATCATCTCGATGGGCGAACGGCACGATGGACGAATGACTTGGCGTTGACGGCTCGATGTTGTTGAGACGATGTTAATTTACCTAAGTCAAGGGTCCAAAATGCGAGGGAGAGATGGTAAGCCTCGCTAAAGCCAATTCGGCAAGGGGGGTCGTAACTCCCAATCGAAACGTGTGATTTTGGATAACAGCGATCTCTCAACGCTGTATGGGGGTAAGATGTTCAAAACCCGAATCCCCAAAACGTTAGGGCCATTACAGAAAGTGAAGTGATGAACGAGCTGACGACGATGTTCCGGTCAGTCAGTGCTTCGGACTGCGATCGTAGTACTTCTTGTATTGATCGTACATCTTGTCGAAGAATGCGTTGACACTGGGTCCTATGTCTCTGACGACGTGGTAACTGTACGGGGCAGAGTGCTGGATGATGGTCGATTGAATCGCAAACACAGCATTCCGATTGACGGCGACAGTAACCTGGCGTATGGGCGACGAGACAGTAGGGGCATCTTCCTTGAGAAACTGCTATCGTGGCTCTCCTTGTTAGACTTCGAACGGCGGTACAACCAGACGAGTAGTGATTCTCTCGACAGAAGTGACACCTGATGTGAGGAGGCACAAGTTCTTCTTGAGACGAGTGTGCTTGACTTCTGGATGGACTTCGCGATGGTCTGCGTCTTGAATGGCTGTCCGCTGCAGGCGAGCGAGAACGACGAGAACGGCTTCTGTGACGTGTACGAACAGAACGGCGATCCGTAGTTGATGGTCGTGTGGCACTGCTTGACGAGTTGGCTGAGGCGAGTACGTCCTCCGGTCTCGATGGCGGTTCGACTGGTCTAGTTCGAGCTGAAGACAAGAGAAGATTAGCTGAAGACTGCGTGGATGAAGCTGGCTGTGTAGCAGTACCTGTCGATGATTGGGTCCTCGATACAACGGCGTTGTATTCAGCAATAGTAGGAATATCTTCCAGATCCAAGGTCTCGGCTGGTACTGGTTGTTCTGACGTGGAACTGCGAAGACGTGCGATTGCCGAACAGATCTTCTTGAGGTTGAGGAATCCAAACGCTGTTTCCGTGGTGGCTGCTGTACAGACGAGCTTGATTTGCGCTAGAGTGATGGTGTAGTAGTCTAGCGTATCCACGAATAGTCGATTGTCCTCGATGGAGTTGAGGATGTGGGGTAAAATGAGGTCAGTCAGAGTGCTCCTGGCGGTCTGGATATCGTGGAGCAGAGTGAGGTGTTCGTCGTATAGCTGGACGAGCTTCTCAACTGACTGCCAATATTCCGGATGAGCGGCGAGATCGTTGGTAAATTGCCGCATTTTCTCATTAGCAGCATGAAGTCCTTTGTACGATTGAATAATAGAACAGATGGAATAGTTCTTGACGGGCGCGTAGTCGAGGTGTGCTGCTTTCGGCGACGGGGTTTCTTCAACCAACCAGGAACGAAGGGTGGAATAGAACGAGTGAGTAACGAAGGCGTCTGCCATGACGATGTCTCTGGTTGCCAAGTGTTCTATACTGAACGTGTGGTCGAACATGACTGCGTTGGTAAGGGACTGGACGATCTGGTGCGAACGGTAGTCCGATGATGTTGAACTTCTATCCTGTGATGGATTCTCGACTGCAGACTGATCCGTGAGGTATTCGGCGAGTAGGTCTTGAGGCGGTCGAATACAGTCAGAGTGACGTGACGGAGCAGACTGAATAGGGTCGGTGTGACGAGGATGAAGTGTCGAACGAGAACCAGTTCGATCAGATTGGGTATCTTCGGGAGTCCCTTGCAGAAGGTAGCTGACGACAGAACAGTATTGTCTGCTGGAGCCGAGGTGGAATGGCTCGAAGATGCAGACATGGAATACTCAGCAGATGGCGTGGTAGATGGAATACCAGACGGCTTCGATTGCTTCCTCGATTGCTGGTTGCTCGATGACGTTGCCGATCGCTTCATGGTGTCTTGATGGGCGACTTGAACACAGCGACTATGACTCGTATTGTCAATCTGAAGCAAAGGATTGATCATGCTGATAATGCACGAAATTCAAGCTGAAGACTATATGAGAGAGATATGAGCTGAAGACGTCAATGTAAGTGGCGAGAGGCAAACAACAATGCTGTGCTGAACGTGAGATGTTAGATTGAGGGCAGCAGCATGTCGTTGCCTGATTCACGAATAGTACCGTATCCTTGAGCTAGAGCGCCATACAGTGCGCGTCGATGAGAGAACACGAAGCATAAGTGCTGATATTGATCGAACATCCCATCGATGATGGACTTGAAACTGTGGCAAAACAGCTAAAGGAACGGAAATGAACGATGGTGGAATGGCGACGTGTCGAAGTAGAGTGACTTGTCCGATCCATCCTTATATAGAAGTGAAGAGAGTTGACGGGTCATGGCTGTTGGGCACACTGAGGTGCTGCGTAGCAATGCCTGCGGTTGTTCTTAGGCGCTACTTCCAGAGGATATAGATGTTACGTTGACCTCTGTACGTGACTGCTGTTGAAAGAGCAGACAGTAGCGCTTCGGGACATTACAGTCATACGTGTAAGATGGTAGACTGCTGATGACCTTCGTTGGCGAGGCTGCTATTGTATGGATGACTGCAACAACTTCTTCGCTGTAAGGAGGTAGAATTCCTATTGACAAGGTTGGCTCTGTACTTCGATGTCGAAACGATCTGCGGACTGGATGTTGTTGGTCCATGGGTATAGTCGTTGATGTGTCGAACGTGAGTTCTAATAGAATGTAATATACTGCACCTGTGATGTTGTAGACAGAGACGAAGTGCAGGTAGAACTCCTGAGCGAGATTGTCCAAGATGGTGTTGGTATGGATTGCTCTGATGGTCGTAGAGTCGTGAAGAGAAATCCATTCGTTGAACAACGAGCTGACGACACAATCGAGACTAGTCCGGCGGAGAGGAAGTTGATGTTGACGCTCTCCTGCTGAGGACTAGACGTGACAAATTGAGCTGATGTTGGCGAGCGATCTTCACGGCCTCGAACGATGATCCTGATGATGGATTCGTACACATGTCTGGAAAAGGCATGTGGTGATCAAGGTCGAGGTAGATGTTCTGAGCGCAATGCGTCTTGAAGATTAGCTCGCGAGTGATCCTAGTAGGAACGAAGGATATTCACGCATAGTTGCATTCACTCTCGAAGAAGAAGGTGTGGAAGAGGATGTCGTACGATTGCGAATATTGTTAGCGTCGTAGCATCGAAGATGTCGTAAGTCGATGTTCGTAGAAGCGGTGAGTGCTTCGATTCGTCGTAACGGCATGGAGTTCGAACTGCGGACGCTCACAATATGGTGTTATCGGCGTAGACATTGTCTTTCATTTCTTCACAGAGATGTAATACGGCAGAAGGTGGAACTGCACACGGGAGATGCGATGCCGTAGCGTAGAATGGAACTGTAGCGGGTCGGAGTGTCTTGGCGTTAGTTTCTGACGACGTGTACATGGGTCCTAGACCACAGAATCGTGTGGCAGAGCAACAAGCTGAAGACAAACGGGAAGGACGTGGAAGGGTTCCAGGAAAAGTGTAGATGGATAGGCATAGTGGGGATATCCTCTCAGGTTAGGTTCTCCTTGGTGACGAAGCGAGTGATCCGATGTTGAATGACGAAGGATCTCTACTTGTCGTTGATGGAAGAAGGTGTGTTTCCGCTAACCTTCGAGAAGGTGGTCTCCAAAGATGTTACACATAGAGCGCATCCATCGATCACTGTATCCTTCAGATGTTGTAGCGTCCAAGTGTCTTCTTGCTAGTCGACGTTGTTGACGATGGGCCACAGAGGACTTGAAAAGGAACATGGTTGGACCAGGATGCACATGACAGAAAACTAGCTTGGCAAAATGGCTGAAGACAATCCGGGTCATGATATCCTGATGGTCGATGTCTGCTAGGATATACATCAGACTGGATTAAACGCTGATCTTGTTGCGTATAGTGAGGGTGATCTTCCGTAATCGTCAATGTGGGAGATGTTCATCGTATCCAACTACTCTGTAGTCCGTGTCGATTCGAACATGACGGTCGAAACGTAGTCCGTTGACTGCACGATGGAAGATAGAACGGCTCGTGCATTACGTCGAATAGAAGAGTGGGATAGAGTGTTCTATCCGGAGTTGATGGAAGCTTCTTCTATGCGATTGCACACGAGAGATGGTGATGACTACCACTGCAGCGCGAGACAGTCGTGTCGAGTTGAAATGTCCGAAAGGAAGGTTTTCTTGACGGAGTAGGTGAATGTCGGCGGCATCGACGATTGCTGAAGACATGGCTTACAGAAACAGCGCGTACGACTATCGAACTGTAGCTTCGGCGATGGTGATCGAAGCGGACGAAGGAAATAGGATTGGGTGATGTCCTGCTAGATGTTGAAGGCTACAATCAACAAGGTTGTATTGATCGTAGTGACGAGAGAAGAACATCCATTTCCGACGCGGGTCGAAAAATCCTGATTCCGTTGACGGTAAGTTCGAAGCGACGTGATGTATCCGTAAGCGGCGAATTGACTGTGGCGATGGTTGTGCCACTACTGGATCGAAAAGTGAAGTGTGAGTCGAGTCGTCCATTGGCGGTTGCGTGTCGTGAGCACTGATGGAGTTGTGCTTCTTCTTGTATCCCTCTGTCGTAATGGGGATCGATTGATGTTCGTATTGATTCCGTCGTAATCCTTCTGGGTCCACACGTACGAAGGCGGCTGATGACATGCCTTGAGTTGTTAGGGGTGTAGATGTACCGGACAGGAGTAGACGGAAGGCGGTCGATATCGATCCACATGGCGTAACTTGGGGATGAACTTCGTCGTCGAGATGGTATTGATTGACGAATATGGCACGCAGCGTGAATGGATTATCGATCACGCTTCACATAGAGCAATTGTCGAATAAAGGAGTCGTGTTCGAGCTGAAGACTACGGTCGGCGCATACCCAAGAAAGGAAGAAGAATAGAATGAACTACGAGAGAACTACGATTGAGGAATAGAGAGAAGGATGATAAGAAGAAGAAAGAAAGGAGAAAGGAGAGAAGGGGGAGCAACTGCCCTGATGGTATTGGCCTGAGCAAACTTATGACGCTAAGAAAGGAGGGGAAAACGCGAAAGGGTTGTAGGCAAAGCGTACGGATGATAAGCGGGTAGCTAAACGGTGGAAATAAGCACATATTAGCAGACGCCACGGTCTAGCGCGTGTGAATGCGCGGTTTGGGTCTTGCTGTGGGGCTCCAGCGCCCTCAATGGGCCCCCCAGGCGGATACCGAAACTCCTTCAACTGGTCCCATATTATTGATGCGGGGTCACCTCACCACAGCACCCATGTAACCCAAGCTGCGACCTTCACAAGGCGCATAAGGTTCCTACGCCACTTGCCCATGGCTAGCTCCAGCTAGTGCGACGGGGGCGGGGGCGCTGGGCGGCGACCTGTTAAGGTACCGAGGGGATCCCTTGCCACTGATGACCCGACGGTACCACTAGGCTGGCATAGGAAAGGACGCAATAAAACCAGTTGTGGGCAGTAATGCCCATTTCCCACGCAAGGTACGAGCTGAAGATGCGTATGTGAGCCTACAGGGTTAACCGAAAGATAGTTAACGGCGCAACTGGCGCTTAAATTTTGAAGGCAAGGAGGGTGACGCGACGATGGGCTCGATCACAACAGCCAACGCCGCCTTTCGACGACGGTGACTGCGGCCCGATGCACCAATTCTGTCGCGACCCGGTGCCCCCGAGGTGGTGTAGGATGAAGCGCATCGGTGGCGGAGCACCGAGGACACGGCAGAACGGGTATTAGAAGGGCCCGAACACCCTGTCCTAGGGGGATGCGTCGCGTAAGGAATGCTCTGACGACTGTTGCCTGCCGCGAGCCTGGTGAGGCCCTCTCCCCTATCTGACGACCTTACGACCGTGCTGCTAAAGATGTGTAGATATTGCTACATAACAGAACACTAAGTATTAAGGTGATTTATACTAATATTACAATAGATTGCGAGACTACGTTATATAGAATGAGAGAGAGATGGGAAGAACCTACGGGCACGATCGGAAGGATAAGCGGCGGAGTGGTATGCGACCGATCCGTTGGCTGTCGTAGATGGTGTTGACGGCAGCTCCAACCATGGCTGAGGACTCCACGGACACAACCGCTCGGCGAGACGACTGGACGACGACTGCTGACAGACGAGCGCGGGCCAAGGCAGAGATGCAGAGCACTTCCCGCACTTCTGGATGTTGCATGCGTTCAAACCATGGGAAAGTGTCTGCGTCCGTGGGAAGGCGTAGTATTTCGTCCTCCATAGCGTGAGAACGTGGCTGGAGCACGGGAAAGTATCGGCGCATACCTTGCACGTTGAAAAGGTCGTGACGAGAGTCGCGACACAAGTAAGCATAAACAATTCTACACCACAGTACCAAAACTAGGACAGAAGAAAACAGCATCTGTGAATATCAGTTCAAATTGTTTGCTCATGCGTTGTCTCCGTAATTTTGGCGCACCCTGTAGATTTTTATTTCTGCTTAGTGGCATTTGAATGCGAAACATAGGACTTGAGGATCTCACTTGTATTGCCACTTTTTGCTTTACCTATGGTTTCACCTCTACTCGATAATCAGTTGAAGTTCCAGTGTCAATGACAAAGGGTGAAACGGGCGGTAATGAAGCAGTGGTGTGACATGAACTTGGTGTAAAAATGCTGACACCCTGAAGTGTTAACCGCCGGCGCGCATTGCGCAAACTTCAACCTTTCATTCATTTCTACTGCGCTTGTAGGTAGATGATTTCCCTGAGTTCGTTGTGAATCGCTAGAAAACAGGATAAAGCATCATCGTAGGGCGTTGTAGCTCGCTTTACTCTGGATGTTTGTACAGTTTTTTGGGTGCATGGTGTAGTGACAAGTGACGCCACTTGCCACGCGCACCGTTCAGACCAACCAAGCCTTTCATCCCTCGGGCTAAGGCGGTTGACAGTGGCTTGTACAAGAAGATAGA